TTTTGTTAGTTGCTGAAAATTAATATTTCTTTTTTATTTGACATTTCTGAAACATGAATATTTTCATCATTTAAAATACTTCTGTAACTGAAAGTATATATCTATGACCAACGATTGCAAAACTAAAGGCAAAAATTGCTAACATAAATCCTTAACAGTGTTTAAGGAATTTTAAGCTGGTTTTGGTTTGGTTCAGTTGATTATGGCAAAGCACACACAGACGATCTGCCTAAAGTGAGGGGTGCCTTCGTGCAGGACTTTCTAAATTTTAAGCTGGGTAAGGGGGCATGATGAGCCAAAATATTATGACCATCTTCACATGAACTCGTCTGGATGATGCAGAGGGCACGTGATCTAAGTGAAAATGGTATTTAACTGCTGCTGGAGAAGGTAAGGAATCTGCTTCCCCTGCTTAGGCGACGATCAAAGATAATGATATTTATAAGCTACAAGTCATGCAAAATAAACTGCTACATACTTTCACAAATGCTCATTACCTTGTTTCCAACAAAACCTTACATAAGGATTGAAACGGTCTTAGAACATATTCATAGACTAAACTCAAATTTCTTCCAACAAGCAGTCAAATGCCCCCACTTAGAGAAACTTTTAACTAGAAAGGGTTATTTGATTACATCATATAACCAGAAGATAAAGAACAACGGCCGCTTGCAGCACACACTGCACGAGACGCAAACTTCCCTACCTAATGTAGGAAAGTACTGTAAATAATTGTAAATAGTGTACATAAACTTCATATTTATCCTTCGTATATCATTATTTAGTATTTATCTCATATGTATCCTGTATTCAAGTATAATATTGTATTATGTATAAATAAAATGTGTCTATTGAGATCTTGCAGGTCTTCCTGCAATTTCATCTTGTCAAGTCTTATTTCACTGTACAACAGTACAAACTCACAACTCAACTGCCCAGCACTGCTTCATCTTGTTGCGCGTTTTATGTTCTTAGGCTTGCGGCCTCTTGTTACCTCTCTTCTTCATCACCTCAATGCCTCAGCTTTCCACTTCAGAATTTTTAAAGTCATATGCCTTTTGGCAACTCCTCCTGAGCTGGAAACAGCGCGCTTAGCACGCTATCCCAGCAATAATTTGTTTGATTGATTGTAAGGAATAATTTTTGCCCTTACTTTTGAGTGTGATGGGAAAGGCTCCTGACCGAGGCAAATCTGATATAAAGCAGATTGTAATAGCTCGAAGACTCGGAACGATACTCTCAGAAACTGCATGACTGGTAGATTGTTCATGATCCACCGTCGTTAGTATTTATACAAAGCGAATAAATGACAATGAAACCAGCATTAGACGCCAAAGTTCACGCGTCATAAAAAAAAAAAAAAAAGGAGACGTCGGAGACTGTCTTGCTCCGTACAGCAAAATTGGCACCTGGCTCTGCTGACAGCTCAATACAATGCAGGTCCAAGAGCAAGTGCTTTGGAACACACAGTTCAGTGGACATGTTGGATATGGAACTGCACAGTAGATGTCCCACTCATATACCGCTGTTGACCAAGCGTCTTGAAGTTCCCGAGACTGGACTCAAGAGACTGCGGATCAAGAGTGGACCATGGATAACTAGAACACAGTTGCCTGTTCGGATGAATCACGATTTCACATTCATCATGTCGATGATCGTATCAGGGTATGCCATATTTCCAAGCGAACAGTTGCCCCCCCCCAACATTGTACAGCAGGTCATACACAGGCTGGCTACCGCTAGCCTGTGTATGACCTGGGGGGGGGACGTTCTCATGAGAGGCTTTGGGACACTTAGTTGTGGTAGAACAGACCATGAAAGCTGTGGATTACCTGAACATAACTACGGATCAGTTGCACCATTACATAGCATCTGTCTTCCCACCTGGGAATAGAATCTTCCAGCAGGACAACACCCCCGTCACAAGGCTCGAATTGTGTAGGAGTGGTTCGAGAAGCATAAGGATGAATTCCAATTAATGTCCTAGCCACCTAAATCGCTGTATTTTAACCCGATAGAGCACTTTTGGGATGCCATGGAGTTGGCAGCTCAAAGCTCAAACACCACAAATGTTGGAAGATCTCGACTTTGCGTAACCGCTGCTTAGAAATTTGGTACAACCTGTCTCCAATCATCTACCAAGAGCTTGTGACATCCATGCCAAGGCGAATTTCAGTTGTTTTGCAGGCCAAAGTTTGCGCAACGCGTTATTAAGTAGGTGGTCATAATGTTTTGGCACTTCAATATATGTAATAAAAACAAACTTAGAAGTAATGACGAGCAGAAATCTTCATGGCATAGAAAAGTTGAACCATAATGAATAGAAAATTGGAGGCGAAGGCAGATTAAATCTTCATTTTATTATTACAGCAAACATGCTGTCGCCACAATCAAGTTGGCACATTAATTGTGCCTACTCCAAAAAGTATAAATAAATTTGCAGTAAGATAGAAGGAGCAGACAGATAACAGTCCAACTAAGCCAAAGCGTAGGACGCAAGTGCGTTATGTTCAGGGTGAAATCTTAATTCAGATTGAGTTAGTTTTGGTTCTCACTGCATTTTGATTGAATAGTTAATATTGCTATAAAATTACTATTGGCTGTTCGGGTTTTAGTTCTGTTTACATCATCAGAATAATGTAAGAGTCATATGACATGGATTAATCTAGAAATGACTTAGTGCAGAGAGAGGTTACTATTTTTAGAATTGAGAAGGGAAATTTACTTTAATCTTTTATATATTCTTCACTTGTCTTGTCACACACACACATATATATATAAGTTTTGTACTGCCTATTGCAATAAAAAAAGGAGGTGCACTAGCTATTATAGCAGCCCCATATACAAAATTTCAACGTTCTATGGTTAACCCTTTTAAAGTTATGGGAGATGCACACTACATACATATGTACGCAGCTATGTATGTTGCGGGGAAAAAAAAAAAAAAAAAGAAGGGGGCAGTTTTTTATCTCTCGTTCTACTGGACCGATTGACGAAATTCAACTTGCATTTTCCATGTCTCGAAAGTGCGACTTAGGATATGTATTAGATTTATATATAGCATTGATCTAATATAGGTATTTTGACATAAAATCCGCATTTTTCTGAAATAACATGCTAATATTTTTCCATATTTCAATTCTAGGACTCAAATTACGCCAAACTACCAAGTTTTGCAAAAATCGCATAAGTAGTTTTTAAAAAACTAATAGTTCCTCAGTGTTAATTGAGTTTGGTATATTTTTAATAATCTCTTTTTTTTATTATTAAACTTATTTCACTCTTCCTTTCACATTTCGAAATTCAGGTTCATTCCAAATAAAATTCACCCATTTTTTACGATTTATTTTTAAAATATGTATTTTTAAATAATTTTTATACATTTTCCAAAAAAAATTTAATTACAATCTATAAAATTTTCACCATCATCTTAAAGTAGATGTATTTCTAAGCATACCTGCAAAAAATTACAGTGTTTTATTCAAAATTTTCGAAGATATACGTGAATTTATATATTGGCGCATTTTGAAATTTGGCACATTTGTTGAAAGCGATAAAACATCAAATGTGGTGTAGACACTTTGTTAAAATTATTTGAAAGTAGGAATGATGTGACTTTTTCCCGCTCTTGACGCTCATGCAAGGTAGGAACGAGGTGTCTTTTTCTCCGCTCTGCCATAATGGGAGGGAAAGGAAAATAGGTTGCCATATATTAAAAATTTCGCCAAGTGAATTATTCTTGGCTCAAACTGAAAAAAATTGTGCCGAGATAAATTTTTGAATTTCTCCGTAAATTATTTGAAAGTAGGAATGATGTGACTTTTTCCCGCTTTTGACGCTCATGCAAGGTAGGAACGAGGTGTCTTTTTCTCCGCTCTGCCATAATGGGAGGGAAAGGAAAATAGGTTGCCATATATTAAAAAGTTCGCCAAGTGAATTATTCTTGGCTCAAACTGAAAAAAATTGCGCCAAGATAAATTTTTGAATTTCTCCGTAAATTTCGCACCCAATTTTACAAAGTTTAACATCCAGGCGTAATTTGAATCGTAGAATCGAAATATGGAAAAAAATAGTATGTTATTTCAGAAAAAGTCCGATTTTGTGTCAAAATACCTATGTTAGAATAATGCTGTATATAAATCTAATATATATCCTAAGTCGCGCTTTCGAGACATGAAAAACGCAATTTGAATTTTGTCAATCGGCTCAGTAGAACGGGAGATATCGGACTGTTCTTTTTTTTGGGGGGGAGGTGCAGTGTACATACAGATGTCACGAGAAAAACCCTTTTAAATCCATTTTATAATTCGTTTTGGAAAAAAGAGTCCTTTATTCTGTACATACAGAGAGAGGTCACGGAAAAAAAATCATTCAGTTGGATCAAAACTCCCTTGAAATATGACACCGGAAATTTGTCGCGATTACAGTACCTCTTTTACTTTGTACAAGAAAAGAAAATGCTAAATGTTTATAAACAGACCTCGGATAACAGATATTGACATATTTTCTTCTTTCATAAAAAATATTTAAAAAAACTGCCATTTTTCTCATGGACTATAAAATGAATATTTGGGATATGTTGGCATTTTTATATACTATTGTTAAGATCTTTATGTTTCGATTTTTGGTAGTTTATACATTTTCAGGAAAATATTTTAGCAAAATGCAGATTTTAACTTGCATAATCCATGAAAGAATATACATACTGAAAAGGTAATCTTTAGAAGACTTTCAAAGCTGACTGTTGTTATATACAAATACAGTTTTATAATGAAAAAACAAAAAACATTTAAAAAATTGGAAATGGCTGATTTTGGAGTTTACCTATTCAGTCTCAGTTTACTTCAACATTTCAGTGAAGAAAAGTGTTAGATTACATTATTTTAGCATTAATATATAAGCGAATATTCATATTTTCAAAAAAAAAAAGAATGCTAAAACATTTGAGGTATGTTATGCATAATAATGCTGTTAGATACGAGTAGAAAAATTACTCTTACTTGATATTCTAAAGTAATTTGTTCAAAGTTTTTAACGTCATCTGGATGTATGATGATAATTTCTTCATATTCTGTATGGTCATTGTTATCAGACAGAGGTACTTCTGATATTGTAACTAACTTCATTCAATTTAGCAAGCTATTAATAAAATTCACCAGAATTAATAAATTTAATAATAAAGATTAAATTTTCAAATATTCATAATAAATATATAATTAGCAATCTCACAGTTACAATTAATAGTTCTATGATACTAAGTTAATGATATTATTTTATGACAGCCATTTAATTACATTTTATGTACAAATTACTTTATAAGAGCCATTAAAATTACATTTTGTATAATATCTTACACCCAGTACAAATGAACACAATTTAGGCCAGTTTTTATTAGTTTGTAAACAACAACATTTGGTCTTGAAAGAATAAAAGATTAAATCATGTTATTTTCTTGTTACAAAAATACGAGTATATTTATTAAGAACCCATACCATTCCTCATTTTTTATTTGGCTATAAACTCAGAAGAAGTTATGCAGAAATTTAGCTTTTATTGGGGACAAGTATATTGTTAAGGATGCACATGAGTAACATGAGTATTCTATCTTTTTTTGACACCTCATACAAATTAAAATATTGACAATTAAAGTTTTCATAGGAAAAGAATTAAAAACCGTTTTTTTAACTAAAAATAGCAACAGAAATAAAACATAATAAGAGAGTGTTAGTAAAATAATTTTTATATCACTTATTGCAGAAGTTCTACGTAGGAGAAAACAGATTCCCGCATAATTTTATATTTAAAATGAATTAACATTATAGATTGAGTCCAAGGATCTTTTTTTGGAGATACAACAAATACCTTTATGCGTAACAACATTGAAATATTTGCTCACAGTTAAATACTTTCCAATTAGCTGAAACACAGTTTTAAAAAAAAAGTATCAGTTTATTTACCTCTGAAAATTTTTTCAGTTCTTGAAATAAGCTGATGTGAAAATCTAGCAAATGACCTTCTAGCTGTATGCTTTTCCATGTTTCAGCCAGATTTTTATAAGATGGCTAAAAAGAAGATGACATGTTATTTGTTTTTCTTTTAATAATAGTACTGTTGTTTTAACATCTCTATGCATCAAGAATTCTTTTTTTTTTTTTTTTTTTTTTTTTTTAATTTAGTTATATTTCTGAATTACATCTAGAACTTTTCACAGTCTGAAGCAAAAAATATGATTTTTTTTTTTCAAACTGTATATGAAGTGTTATTTAATATTTCAGTTAAGGAACATTTAAACCCACATTTGCATTTTATTTTATTATGTCTCTTATTTAAGACATCTTTTTTTTTTAGTTATTCAAAATTAATTTTCATAAATTTTTAAGGAACATTTAAACCCACATTTGCATTTTATTTTATTATGCCTCTTATTTAAGACATCTTTTTTTTTTTAGTTATTCAAAATTAATTTTCACCTTGATGATTTTGTGCAAAATTAAACCCTAACTGTATATATAGTAGGTTTTAAGTTATAGATGTGATCATTTTTACACCTAAAATGTATTTTATTCAAAAAGAATATTTAATTACATACCAAGCAGTATTTCTAAAAGTCTTATAAAAAGAGAATACTGCAGAAAACATCTTGCATACATGAGTAGGGCAACTTACTTAGAAATCTTATAAGAAAAACTACAGAAGCTATATATATTTTAATGTGAAGTTTTTATCTAGACTAAGTTCATAAATAATAGAACAAAAAATTATACATACTTACATATACTTTGTCAGCTGTAGTGAATGGACCAGTTTTTAACCTACTATTCAGTTCTTTAATTTGTATAGCGAAGGTATAATCAAGCTTGTAAGTCTGTATAGCTATTTCTTTCTTCAATATCTTTCTAAAATACAAATAATAATAATAATAATAAAATAATAATAATAATTCATTTTTTCTCTCTCAGCTAGCAACTTTCAGCATCAGCAATGAACATATTTGATACAGTATGAATGTAATTTAAATTATATTTATGTATTTTATCAGATATTTGCATTTGACCACAACATCAACAAAAACTTAATTATGATATGTATAATAATCTAATTAACTACATTATATAAATAAGAGGAGATACTGAAAAAGTACTTTTTGACAATATTGAATTATGTCAATTAAACATGCAGTAGTCCTATGTAATGCAGTCCTATAAGTTGTGGAATTTTTTTCAAGGGAGTATTGTTTTTGATTTAATGCAAAATCATAACCTAACATTATTTTTAGAAGCAAAATTTAAAAGAAAAAAAAAAAAATCTGGTTTAGAAGTAATTTATAGGTATAAATAAAAAATATTAATTTTTCTAGTATGATTATTTGGGATTCTAGGCCACATTTATGAAATGCTTTAAATAAGAATTATTTATAATACTGTATACGTTCGTATAATGTCTGCGCTCATGTAATGTCCACACCCCAACTTTACAGACAAAATTTATGTAAAAAAAAGTGATCCACACCCCAAAAACTACAGAATTTCCTACTTTAAAATATATTTTTTTTTAACACCACCTTTTCCCCTTCAGTAATATTAGTCAATAAACAACTTTAAAGAAAAAATATCCATTTGTTTTGGCTTTGGTTGGCGCCAGGATGGAAAGCAGAGACTTTCCTTGCATTCTGGTGCAGCAGTTATTCAGTCATAACGTCGGCGCCAACAATTCACTCAGAGAAGCGATAATAAATGAAGGCAGCCCAAACAGGGTTTCACCATTGGCTTCCAGAAAATACTGTTTTGTAATGAAATTACTTTCTCCTCCTTCCACCTTGGAGCATTCGCATATTTCAAGCTCTTTTAATTCATAGTATCGTTTGGAATTCGTAGTAGTTAGCATATAGCGTGCTTGAAATGGGAAAATACAGTAGCTTTTAAACTGAAATTCATAGAATTTATGCAGGAAAATGGGAAAAGAGTGGCAGCAAGAATATATAAGGTGGACAAAAAGTGTGTGTGCAATTGGTGCAAACAGCATGATCAACTGGCGGCAACGAACAAAACAAGACGTGCGTTTCGTGGTTCAAAATGTAAGTTTCCGAACTTAGTAAAAAAAAAGCAGTTGTGTGTGTTCGGGATCTGCTTTTGAGCTTGCTCAAGAGTACGCAGTAACACGGGAAATGTGCCAAATAAGAGCGCTTGCTGCAGAACAAGAAGAAGACATTCCTACATCCCAGTTCAAGGCGAATGAGGCTGGTTTTAGTGAATGATGAAACGAAATGGATTTTCGTTTCGCCAGCATGCGGCAATATGTCGAAAAATGTCCAGTATGAAGATAATTTGATATTCTTTCATCGCTTCACTATCGCGAAGAGCAAAGCGAATCATTATTAAGCTTCACAAATTGTGAATGCTGATCAGAAACCAATTTATATTGATGCTCCAGACAATTACACAGTAAATGAACGGGTTGCAAGATATGTACCAATACGCGATATGAAAAACAAAGAGCAACTGTTACGTTAGCAGTTACTGCGGATAGCAAAAAAACTTCTACCGTACATGGTCTTTAAGCGAAAAACAATGCCGAAAAAAAAACTGCCAACAAGAATTGTGGTACGAGTTCAAGAAAAGAGGTGATTGGATGACGCTTTTGTTCAGGACTGGCTATAGAATGTGTGGTATAAATGACCTGGAGCTCTGTTTCAGCTATCTTCTCTTCTCGTGTTGAACAGCTTCAAAGGGCATCTCACAGACGCAATGAAACAAAATCTTGAAACCTCAAGAATAGATCTTGCTGTGATTTTAACTTCCATTCAGCCACTTGATTTTGTATAAACAAGCCATTTAAAATGGCATTCAAACGGAGCTATAGACGGGATGGGGGGGGGACCATGGAAGCTGGACGTCTAAGAATGGCATTCATCTCGGAAGTGTGTGCGTGGAAAAGCATATCCGACAATGTGATTGTGAAAAGTTTTAAAGTAACTGATATATCAAATGTTTTGGATGGAACAGTTGATCTCCTTTGGAAAGATAACGTGAATGAGAAAAACGAGAAAGATGATGTGAAGAAAATGAGGAAGATGTGAGAAAAGAAAGGGATGATAACTAATACGTGAAAAAAGGAAAAAAAGTACTGGTACTACGTGTATGTTGAAAATTGTTCATGATAAGTTTTTAAAAACTGCTTAGAATTTAATATTTAATGTGTACGCACTGTGTTTGTGTTAACAATTAGTGTGTGCTGATGCAATTGGAAATTATTTGCAAGGACGATGGTGAGGTAAAAAAATTTTTACTGATTAAATTTATTTGCACTCATGTACTGAGTATTGTTTACAATGCCTTTATTTTTCTTTTTTGCGGTAGCTTGAATTTAGAAATAATACCACTCACCGATTCTCCAGTATGTGGCTGCCACTACAGTGTCTGCACTGACATCTTATGTGTTTTTATGCTGCAGAAAGATTTTACATTCGCACACGCAGACATAACAACCAAATTTTCATACAGTGCGTCTTTTTTTTTTTTTTTTTTTTTAAATACTGTGTGCAAGATATTAAAAGAACTAACGTTTATTTAATATGTGTAAAAGTAAATACTAAAATTGCAAGTGTTGGGTAATTTATGCCTCTATATTGTGCTCCTGTGCAAACTAATACGCACCAAGTGTTGATAACATAAACGGAGTAATTTTTATTATATATGTGGATGAGAGAGTGAGTTTGTAAATTTTCGGTAGCTATTAGACAACTCTAAATTTGATACTTTTATTACTTATGCCATTTTTCTTCCACTTAGAACTTAACTTGGCTGTTTGAAATGGAATTTATACCCAAAATTGTGGTACGAGAAAATGAAGAAGATGTGAGAAAAGAAAGGGATGACGATGATAACTAATAGGTGGAAAAAGGAAAAAAAGTAACTACAAAAAAAAAAGTAACTACTAAAAAAGTACTACGTGTATGTTGAAAATTGTTCATGATAAGTTTTTAAAAATTGCTTAGAATTTAATATTTAATGTGTACGCATTGTGTTTGTGTTAACAATTAGTAACTCACGAGAAAAAAGCGCAACATTTGAACGACCCATGTAATGTCCGTACCTGCATTTTAGTGATGTAATTTTAGTAAAAAAAAGTGCGGACATTACGTGAGCGTATACGGTATATTTTGAAGAATAGTAGTATTACATTAACTTCGTGATAATTATAGTACATTACTTTTTGAATATGAAATTAATTTTGTTAATTCCCTTAACATTTTGACATAAGTAATGGAAATGCTAATACATACAAGTAAGTTTTTTGTGTGAGTGATGATATATTTTTATAATAATTTATTACTTAATATACAGTAGCCTACCAGCGCCGAGCGGTAAAATCGCCTGAACACTGGTAGTTCCAACCTGAGTTCAATTCCAGATTTCCATATGTATATGACCCAGTTGCCCTTAGAAAGTTCTCCACAAAGGCATTTCTCCCCTTATGCAGATAGCCCTAATGTGCTTTGCCATAATCTATTAAACATTAATGTACAGTGCCCAGCACTCATAAAAATCACTTTTATTCCAAAAGTATTTGAGTTTATTAAGCTGTTGAATTTAATAAACAGCAATTTGTATATTACAAACTGTGATGTTAGTTTTACACTTTTCAATAAATTATTACACTTTTCAAATAAAATAATAGCTGACAAATAATTTATTAATTAATCCAAAAACAATAACTAAGGATTAATGCTAAAACTATTTACACAATTTAAAATTTTTTTATAAAAATATTTTTGTAATTAAATTTTAATGAATTTTATCTCTTACAAAAACATATTCGGTCTGTGTTTCCTTCATATTGTTCAACAATAGTTTTTCAATTGTATTCTCAATTTCATAAAACTTTTAACAGCTTTTCTGATCAGTATCTTTCAGTTCAAGAATTTTTCTTAAAATTTGCAGTGCTTTTTTAAATTTTATTGGTGGTGGCACATTATCACTTTTTTCTGTATCACTTTTGCTGTCAGTTTCTGCAGTTCTTTTAACATTTTCATTGTCAGTTTTTATATGTGTCATCTTGATACTGTTATAAACTCACACAACATATCCTAAAAATGATCTCATAAATTCCCTTATTGATGCCTGAAGCTTCTTCTGCATAAAAAACACATTTTCGAAACCAGTTTAGACTCATTTTTAGAGATTAACCCCTTGCATTGAGTATAATATGCATGGCCTCTAGCAGAGATATCAACTTACTTATCCCCTTCGAAGTTCTTGCATATTCACAAAATTTAATTTCATTTACTGAATAAGCTTCAGTAATGAGATTTGAAAGCTTTTATAATATCCTTAAATTAAAGGTTAAATGTTAGAAGTTGTATTTATAGGAATAGACTCTAATGCTTTTCAGAAAGAGATCAGAGTTAAGTGTGCTGCACTGTTATCTAATTAGTAAAGCTATTTTTCCCCCTTTTTCATTTTGCTGTCCCTATTAAAAAGACATTCAATAAAAATACTATTTGTCTTCCATGCGTTCTTGTTCTTTATTGTAAAGTTAGAAGTAAATCCTTGACTCCTTTCAAACATTGTGGTTTTCTGCTTTTATCAATAACAAGCACTGTCTTCTTAATTGTTGGGGGTCATATTGTGCATTAATAACACAGTAACTTATTCCTTCAATTTCATAAACCAACTGCTATTTCACTTTTAAATATTAATGTGTATTCTAAAAAGTACTGCAATGTAGTCCTGCTTTGTCTGTGTTATAAAATTTCATGTAGCTGCATTCATTTAGCAGCCCAAGTATCCAGAGAATTCTAGAAGAAACC